GCACTCTAGAGGTGTGATGAAGCAAAATACACTAATTATAGTACTCCCTTTGTTTCATATTAAATGAGGTACTTTCCTTTTTAGTCTGTTCCAAAATAAATGACACATTTCTAAATTTGGAAATAATTCAACTTTAAACTCTTCATTTTACCCTTTTTGCCCTTAATAAGAAGCTTTTATAGCCACACAAATGGCATGGCCCCACGAACCTTTTACCCCTTAAGCTTTTAAGACCACAAGTTTCAAAAGTCTTCTTCTTTTTTCTTAAATTTCGTGCCGTATCAAATTAACTCAAATAATATGAAACGGAGGGAGTATAATTTTTTTAGGTGAGACAATATCTTACTACGGTATATTAAAAAATTCTAATATGACAAAATATCTTACATTATTCAAGTGTATATATTCTAAATCCATTATAATAAAAATAACAGTATCTTATGAACATACTGGGAAGCACGGAAGAGAGACTTGTTAGGGCCCGTTTGGCAAAAAAATATTCCTTTTTTTCGAATTTTTCTTTATTTTTTTCAAATCAGTGTTTGGCCCTGAAGTTTTGATTTTCGCTTTGAAGATGAATTTAATAATTTTTATTTTTACTTATTTTAAAAAAATTTCGATTCAAAATAACTTTAACATTCAAATAATATTTTTACTTGAATAAAAGTATGGAAATTTTACAATTCTTATGTCCAACCACTTAGTTTTAAGAGAAAATACATAAAGTACCCATTAAACTTGTCCAGAAAAATCATTTACACATCTAAACTTTACGGGAGTGTAAGACGTGTAGTTCATTTTACAGACGCGCGTGAAGGAAAAAAAAATAACTTAAAACTAGTTTAATAGTCCAGATGTCACTTTCCTATTGGATATTATAATTAATTAACTTAATACGATTTCTTTCCCGTTTCTTATTCATTTTTCTTTTCTTTTTCGTTTTTCTTTCTCTTTCTTCATTTAACAGAAGCAGAAGCAGTGAACCAATGGCCACAAGAAATGAAATAAATTTTTTGCTAACGGAACCAATGGCCACAAGAAATGAAATAAATCTCAATAACTAGTTTTAAAGAGGAAATGGCCACAAGATATTAAATAAACTAGTTATTAAATCATTTCTTAACAGAACCAATGGCTTTGACATTACCTCTTTAATATTCTGGGAAAATCTCAATGAAATGAACCAATAGCCACAAGAAATGAAATAAATCTTTCATTTAACAGAAACAATAATCTTTCTTCATCCGTCCTTCAATTGAGATTTTCCCAATCCAATTTTTCATCTATTTTCTGAAAAATACCTCTTTAGAACCAGAAATAGTGTTGAAAAGAAGACAAGGTGTCGCCGGAAAATTCTCCGATCGGAGAAAATTTCCGGCCAACCAAATATTTCTCTCTATTCCAAGCTTTCCGACCCTTTTTCTCCTTAATTTCGTGTAATGTCAAAGACCCAAATAAATTTATCTACAATGAAAAAAGAAGAATAGAGATAGAGTCGATGTGTTTAAGAAAGGTTATGGCTGTGAATGGCTTTTACAGTGGTAGCGGGCAAAAATAATGAGGAAGAAAGGTGAAGAAGATGAAATGAAAAAAGAATAGAAAATGAAAGAAGAAGTATATTTAAAAAATAAAAAAATAACTGTAAGCATTTGATACATGTATGGCGCGTGTTAACACAGCCACCGCAAGAGTGGTTCAGTATTTTGAAGAGGGTATAAATTCACTTTAGATGAGAATAGTGGGGTAAAAGCTCGTCAATAAAATTTAGGTGTGTAAATAATTTTTCCGGAAATTTAATGGGTACTTTATGCATTCTCTCTTAATTAAAACTATTGAATATGATATGAAATTGGTGAATTAACTTATTAAATGTTAAGCATCACGCTACACAAGTGAGTCCGTGAAGTTAAAGCGCACCTACTATTTGCCTAGCGTTTAAATTAATTAAAAGGAAACGAGTTAATTTAATTAGTAGAAAAATATGATATTATTATTATTTTCTAGCTTT